CAGTGGCAACTAGAGAGAAAAAGTGGGGGATGTTTTAAGGAATTTTTTTTTTCCAAAGAAAAGTTACGTACGTTCTAAGGCTTCATGTGGCAGGTGTCTGCTTATTTAGAGTATTTTTCTCGTGAGATCACACCAGCTGAAGTGCCTCAGAGACATATGAATTACGAGCTGATCCCCCTTTTGATGAAGGGAATGATCGGCGCATTAGCATCAATTGAAAGTCATTGGTCTACTATATTTACACTCTAGGCCTACTGGAATGGAGCAATAAATCTTGAGAGATGCAACAAATTAGAAGGTCTAGATCTATACTCTCAAACCAAATGCGCCTCGCGAAATATCTCTTCCGGCACTTCCGCTATGAACGACAGCTACGCAGATTTGCTTCGTTTCTCAGTGGAATAATCACAAAGGCCAAAAAAGGACGGGAACTTATAGTCAAATATATTATTTGTCTAAATTCAGGAAATGAATAAATGAAAAATCGAGCCCCGTCATGGGGACCTATCTATCTTTTTACTGGTACTTGCCAACTTTCAATTAAGTAGCTGTCGTAGTTTCATGGGAAGAGTGACACATGTGTTTCCAGGTTGCCAGAAATAGAAAATATTTTGGCTGAATTCTGTCCGATGAATACGCGCGAGACAGTCGGATTTTGTGCTTTGAACCCATCAAATAGATCCAGCAAGTTGAACAAGTGTCAATCCTTTCTTTAACAAACTGACTCTGTTCTTATCGTATGGTATCAGAGAGAGAGAAAGCGAGAGAGGGAAAGAGAGCTGCAGATCGAGAGAGAGAGAGAGAGAGAGAGAGAGAGGGAGAGAGAGAGAGGGAGAGAGAGAGAGGGAGAGAGAGAGAGAGAGTAGAGAGACAGGCAGAATGAGAGAGAGAGAGACAGAGAAAGGGAGGGAGAGAGAAAGAGAGAAAGAGTTAGAGATCGAGAGAGAGAAAGAGGAGAGAGAGAGAGAGGCGAGAGAGAGACGGGCAGACAGAGAGACAGAGGAGGGAGAGAGAGAAGAAGAGAGAGGGTGACAGAAAGAGAAAGAGAGAGAGTATGTGTGAGAGAGAGAGAGAGTGAGAGAGAGAAAGAAAGAAAGAAAGAAAGAAAGAAAGAAAGAGAGAGAAAGACAGGGAGAGAAAGAGAGAGAGAGAGATAGACATAGAGATAGACATAGAGAGAGGCGGGGGGAGGGGGGGGTTATTCAAATTCCGTCCTGCTTGTCAACAAGCGATATGTTCAGTCCAAGTGACGGTTCGTTGCCGGGAAGAAAGTCCCTGCAGACAAACACTTCCTTACGCACAAACCACACAAATCTTTTTTTTTAAGATGTCAAAATATATTTTTTATCCCTTGTCCTATAATTAGTTACGTTAGCGACATAAGAGTGTTCGACATTGCTATAGTTGAAAAAATCACTTGAAAGTTGCCGCTGCTGCTGCTGCAGTAATTAACGCTTCTAAAGAAAGATGGAACCACGACAAATAATATCTTTTCAAAGCTAAACTGAACTCCACAACCCTGGTAATTTTTATTAGACTGACCACAGACACAGTCGAATACCGGTAAACTTTTCTTGAACTTGAAGAGTGATTTACTGCCTGCCAATTTTTAAAATTTTCATTTCGTCTGCTTTAATTAGTCTTTCAACGTTTAGCAATGACGGACTCTTTGCGCCCACGCAACTCCGAGAAAGGTGCACGTGCACTTACCTTGTCTTTTCGGGGGGGTTACCGAAGATGTGAGGAACTCGCGCTCTCTGCTCCCAGTCCAGACACACAGCTCACACTTCCACACGACACGGACGGACCTACAGACGGGAGGGATGTCGGGCGTCGGGGCGGACAATCGTGGGAGCTGGCAGGCTTGAGGGACAATGTCACACTCGCACACGCCTTTTATAACGCGCTCGAATTGACGATCATCGTCGCTCGCCACCATGCGCGTGCGTGTGTGGTCTCTGATCGGGGGTGGGGGCGGGGGTGGGTTCCCAGGCTGTGGTGGCGGTGGAGATGGAGGAGAACGCCGCTAAACACTGTCTCAAACTTCTCTGAAAGGCTTTTCCGTTTTGAACAAAACGAGACGAGCGCTCACAAGGGGGAGAGATCTTTATCTCCTCCAGTCGTTTTGCGCACGGTTTGTTTCGTAAATGCAGTCGCTGATTCAGCATTTTTCCTTGGACGTTCTCTGACATTAACCAAAACGATTTTCGTTCCGTTTCTTTCGTTTGAACTCTCGCGACTGACAGTCCATCTTTTTATCATCACTATATGACTGTCTAATTGTGTTTTACTTGATGAGTTTTTTTCAGAGCTTGCAAAATTGAACCACTTGGTCTGACTCTCATTTTACGTCTTTCCCACCTCTAATGAGTAAGGACCCCACCCCCTTTCCCTGATATTTCCTCGACATTTTCTATCTGTCTTATTGGGGTCTTGTGTATGTACACGGGTGCTGTCCACCGACCCTCGGTCACACAACTGGAAATAGTTGCTAATACTTACGTTGTCCGAGTAATGTTAAGAACTTATTCTCACTTTTTGGGGTGTTTTTTTTTTTTTTTTAAACAGCAACCAAATATTAGTACTTATTTGCCCTCATCTCCCGTCTTCCTTTCTTAAACTCTAGTTTCTGCAAATAACCATGGACTAATGTACGTAAGGCCCCGCGCCTACAATGGCAATTTCCATTCGTTGCACGGTTGAAAGTATGCAAATGAGGCAATTTCCGCCCGTTCGTCTCTCTTCCGTGCCAAGTGACGTCATACTTTGCAAACGTATGACGTGGGGGAATTTTTTTTGTGTGTGCGCGCGCGCGCGCGCGCGCGCGTGTGTGTGTGTGTGTGTGTGTGTGTGTGTGTGTGTGCGCACAGGGCCTTAGGTTTCGACATTTAGAGCAAGGATATCCTGTTGTGGTACGAAAACGTTTGATGAACTACAATCCTTTCTTTACACTCAGTCTGTGAGCTGAAAAAAGGGTAAGATATTGTGATTTCATTTAAAAAATGTTTCCTAAAACATGCCTCACACAGTAATACTGAAATAAATGACCATTGGAGATGTAAAAAAACAAAAGTCTTATCTAAAGTTTTTAGACATGCTCTCGAACTTTCTTAAACAGCTTGAATATAATACGACATCGTTAGTGACAATAATAGTCATGGTACTGATGATGATGATGATGATGATGATGATGATGATGGGGTCTTGTGTATGTACACGGGTGCTGTCCACCGACCCTCGGTCACACAACTGGAAATAGTTAAACAAATTTAATCATTTTATATTGTTATTTTATTTTTGTCTAAAATTAAAACAAGACTCTCCCTCCTACCCTGCTTACCAAAAAATGATGATGATGATGATGATGATGATGATGATGATAATGATAATAATGATAATGATGATGATGATGATGATAATAA